TCAAAATAAAAAAAAAAAAAAAGAAAAAAAGAAATACATTTTATAGATACCCATGTAAAGCAAAACCAGACAAAACAACAACAAACTGAGTGCCAGGAAGCTGCAACTGATATAATCAGACCCTGCTAGAAGATTGCAAGTCGAAACTACATTTGGGGAAGACTATATGGTAACATGTGGCAAGAACGGAAAGAGGATCATATGAGTTTGCCAAGTGATCCAACCTCTGGCTATTGGGGGGAAATGACTGAGTATGTATTAATGAAAACTTACCTTACAGATGTGATCTATAGAACAGTGGTATAAGGGAATAGTTTAATGTGTATGTGCATATATTTACTCAGATGAGAAACACGAAGTCTATGAAGAACCATGGGAAGATATTTACACTGATGCTAAAACAGTATTTATAATTGTCACAAGTCTGCAAACATATGTCTACCAATAGAGATTTACTGGAAAAAGCATTTAAAAATGAAAACTGTCAGAATGATATGATTATAGATAATTTTCTCTTTCTCTTTTGCTTTTTTTCAAAATAAAGTTCATGTCAAGACAACTTTTCAAAAGGTTTTTATTTTTATTTTATTTTTTAAAAGATTTTTTATTTATTCATTTGAGAGAGAGAGAGAGTGAGCATGAGCACAAGCAGAGGGGAGGGTCAGAAGGAGAAGGAGAAGCAGACTCCCCGCTGAGCAGGGAGCCTGACACGGGGCTCTATCTCAGGACCCTGGGATCATGACCTGAGCCAAAGGCAGACCCTTAACCAATTGAGCCACCCAGGTGCCCCTCAAAGGTTTTTAAAAGGTATATATTAAGTTGCAATAAACCAAACATGTGCATATAGACATGCTCCAAACACACTTACTTAACTGTTTCTTGGGTATGAGGGGGTGTAAAGAAATGGGAATCACTTGAATGAGGGTAGAGGGGAGAAATGAAAAGAAAAAGAGAGCTGGGAAGCTCAGATTGGCAGCAGCGTCCCTGTGCCCCCCTAAACAGTTGCTCTGGATGGTATCAGGGGCTCGTGAGCCACGGTGGTGGAATCCTCACATCACAGCTGATGTGACATGAGACAGATGGGGGAGCAGGACCACACTGACCACCTCACTCCATTTCCTTACACTGTCCCCGTGCTGGGTCATGGTACCGATGTGGCCTTGGGGCATGTCTGCAGTGGAAGATTTGAATTTCAGCTGGTGGCAGGAGATGAGACAACCACGTTCCTTTATGCACACATTTGGTTTCATTGACACGTTAACCACAGGAGCAGGGGCGAAGACCACAAGGTGTGGGGTTAGTATGAGCGGAGGCAAAGGAACTTTTTCTTAAAGAAAAAAGCATCTGTACTGCACAGACTTTCCACGATTCCACACCCACCCTGAAAGCCCCCATTCACCACAGGAAGTACGCTGACCACTGGAGGAATAAAGAGGCTTCTAAGAGCAGCCGTTCCTCACCTTCTCCTCGCATAGCTCAGCAAGACCTCAGCCATGAGACCTCTCCTCCTGGCCCTGCTTGGCATCTGCTTTCTCACTGAATTCATCGTGGAAGGTAAGTCGAAAGGTTCTGTATGAGAGAGGAACAGATATGCAGGCAGGCGGGTACATATTTGGGGTCTGACTCAGGTTTTGACTGGAGTAAACTGCTTTCTCCAGGGTAAGCCTCTGACTTCCCATGTGCAAAATAGGAATGATAACTTTGAGTTCAAGGGACTTTATAGATTCTGAAGATAGACAGAACTTGCTTACAATCTGGCTCCCACTTTTCATAATTGCGTCATTTGGGGTAAATTTCGCAACATCTGTGGACCTACGCTTACTTATAAGCTGAACATAATGACAGATACTCTCACCTGGGATTAAAATGGAAAAAAAAAACAACAAACCAAAAACAAACCTAACAATTTAGGAATACTTACCAGATTTCCTCACTAGTAATAATTTCTTGATTAATGTTAGCTGTAGAATGGTGGTGGTGATTATATGTGCCTTTGTAGCTTTTGCCTATTTAATATCAATCTTGATAAATTCTCAAAGATTTTGGAAATTTAGTCACAATGTGGGGATGAGTTGGAGGTTGTATATTCTGAAGAAAATCAATAATTTCTATTAGATCAATGCCTTATACACATTCAGATAAACCTGCAAGTTGTACCCAGATGAGACTTAGGTATACTAGGCATCACCTGACTGTTCTATACATATTTTCTTAAAGGATCATTTTTTTTCTCCAATTGGTTGAAGTTTACTTCTCCTTGTGGCTCTGGCAATAAAAGAGAATATCCTTCAAGTATAATTAATGTTTCAGTTAACTCTCCTTTCAACTGCCTAATTTGTAGACTTACTACTTAGAATAGGATATATGAATCTGATCATGGATCCCTAAGGGTGTCTATGAATAGAGGTGGCAAAGTCTGGAATTCCTTGAAATTGTGGGCAAAATAAATATTGATGTAACCAACAACTTTAAGGCTAGTTAATTAGGCCAAATATTGCAATGTGGCTGGCATTTTGCTGAGAAAATAGGTCTGCTGTTTGGTGGGAACCCAGGTATGGTTAGGGGCAGCGACCCTCTGTTGGAGACAGAGGAGGACTGCAGACACTTGGGTCACTTCCCAAGCTTCCTCCTTGAATGACCTCTATGAGTCCACTGGGGCTTAGCCTCTATGTACAACTGTGGGCAAAGCAATCTCTGCTCTGATTCAGCTCTGCAACAGGAGTGAACATGATGGTTTCAGTGATAACACTACTGAGAATAAGAAGGTTTGGGCGTTTTGAGTCTAGTAGGATTCTTTGAGTCTTGGGAGTCCATGTTAGGTACTTCTCAGAGAAAAATATTGTTTCCTAAGTAGTGAGAGAAATACAAGAAAAGATCTCTGTCTTTCACTGGGGTGAAAGACAGTTGAGCATTAAACATAAATTGGCAAGGATGGGGGGTAAAGAATGTGTGGACGACATACTGGGAATGCTGGAAAGGAGGGATGAAGAGGGGCGCAGCTAGCTGACAAACACCTTATATTTAGTTTCATGTTCAAAAAAAGCCTTCTGATATCAGCAACACCGTAGATCAAACTTGATCCTCATCAGCTGTTACTTTAGATGCTTTTTAGCTGAATATTTCCCTGAGAAGCAAATACCAGTCATTTTACCTGAGGAGAAAATCAGCACCTAGAAACCGTGATTAGATTCTACCAAACCTTTAATATTATTAACTCTCCCAAGTTATTTCCCCTTCTCCAATGTAAGATTGCTCTCTGAATTGAAGTTTAGAAATCCCCTTGTGTGGGGGGGTGGATTTCTGTTGAGGATGAACAGTTTATGAACTCCATCCTTTATATATCTTACACCTTAACATTTAAGATAACACATGTGCCTCTTCCCACATTTTAATGTTGCCTTCCCCAAATTACTCTTTATCACATCACTCTGTTATTTTAGTTATAGCACTGTAACATTTATACTATTTGAAATGATAATTTATTTTTGTTTGTCTTCTTGGTTTTCTTTACCAGGTGTGGGGAGTGAAGTCCTAGAAAAGAGCATCTGTGTAAGTTTAACGACCAAGAGACTACCAATTAAAAACATCAAGACCTACACCATCAAGGAGGGCTCCATGAAAGCTGTAATGTGAGTTTGTCTCCCCAAAAGCTGGGCTTGATGGGACAGAGTGTATAGAAATGCTGCCTTCCTCAGGAAGCTGGCATGGGGGAAGACCTCAAGTGAACCAATAGCCCCTTTGTTTTTCCAATTAACCATGTCTTTATGTAGCACCAAATAGCAATTATTGAAAAAATTTGACAGTCAAATAAAGAATATCATCCTCTTTTCTGATTTAGTTTAGCAGGAGAATCTGACTGGGAAATGGATTAATATTGTGCTCAGTTTTGAGGGTTAGGTTTAGAGATGGCTGGTGTGGCTCAGGATTTGACCATATAACCACACTGGTATAGGATGCTTCTCAACCCATCCCTTCTCTTTCCTTATGGTGTGCTAGAGTAAAGTAGAGTGCCATGTTTTATCAGTTACCATATCTTAAGGAAATATGTGAAAAACTAGCTACATAGTACCATTCTCTTTCCAGGATCTCATTTTCAGAATAGTGGCTCTTCCCAACACATAATTGCAATTTTACCCAAAGAGATTAAATAAAGAAATCACCTCTGTCCAGGAAACAAGATGAGTGTGTTTAGATGTGAAAAGGAAGATATATGTAATAATTGAACTAGATGACCTCAAATGTCCATTGTAGTCACAACATTTGGTAGCTTGGATGGAAAAAGGAGTCTGAGAATTATGATGAATAAAGGAGCTAGGTATTACCTGGATGTATTTCTCTTTTGTGTTAAAATAGATGGCAGGAGAAAGGTTTTCATTTATGGTGTCAAGGTTTTGAGAATAATTTCTGCACATAACCTCTTATATCTGGTCTGATCTTAACTCCTGGTTCCAAGGCTGTGAGGACGTGACTAACTCTATCTTTTCCTTGATTTGCAGATTTATTACCAGACGTGGCTTTAAAGTCTGTGCTGATCCACAAGTTGACTGGGTGAAAAAGGCAGTAGAAATTGTGGACACGTCTGCCAGAAGAAACATGAAACAGACCAAGCCTACAGGAGCCCAACATTCCACCAATACAGCTGTGACCCTGACTGCATAGTGGTCTTCTGGCCCCTCGTTTCCTCACTAGCCAGCCAGCTCATTTCCCTTTATAAACTCCTGGACTAATTAGATTATATTCACTTTTTATAAAAGTGCTGCATGAGCCAACTTATTTTCTTGTATTTTTATTTTTTATGTCTTTCATATTCATTTAGATGTTTTAATTAATAAATATTTATTACTGAGAATAATCTCAAAGTCTATTTATTGCATATTGGGAAAGATAATATATCATTTATGCTCTGTCTCTGTCCTAACTGTCCCTCCCATTGACGGTATTCATGATGGGAGAGATTTTGGCCAGTGTTTATCAGAGATGAAAGCTATAGTCATCATTCTTAGGTTCCAGCTTGCAAGTGACAATTGTGACAATGTGACAAGTGACAATTGTGACAACGGCAACAATTTAAGAACTATTTCAACCTGTCTTCATAATAGAGTTCTATTTATGAAATAGGGGAGAAAATAAGCCAACTGTCATTGCATTTCCATTCTGAGGGTCCACTTCTCAAAAATGGCTTCACTCATGTTTGATCTCTAGCAGATTCTCTTACCTCTCTGTGTTTCTTTTGGTTTCCTATGAAAGGACACAAACAAAGGGCTTGTCAGTTCTTTCATTTGTCAAGGTAGCAAAGGTTAGACTTTTGGTGAAAAGATATTTTATTCAAATAACAGTCATTGCTCTTTGAAATGGGCAATGACCTTGCTGTCTTCCCGTGTTGTCTGTAATTGTCACTACTTTATCATACTAGGCATGCCTGGCTGTCAGTAAGCTTTTAAATACCTCAAACACTGGCAACCTGGAACATTTCTTGAATGTGATCACAACTTGCAGTAAAGTTTTAATTAAATGTTCATCTAGGCATTCGCAATATCCCAGACTCATGCTCTGCTATATTTTCGTTAAATTGCCAATTTGATTCATGTTTATGCCTATATACTATCCACGTAGCCCATGATGCATACATCCAGTTCTTTGTGACTCTAACTAGTAAGAACTAACTGTGCCTTGATCATTTCAAGGGAAAAGGGAATACTTACTACTATCTAGTCCTCAGAGGGCACTCAGCAATATCAAATGCTTTCAGAGATTAACTGAGGGCAGCTGGTTGGAATCTGCTCACTTCTAGTCATCCAGCTAGTGAGCCAGAGTGGGCTCCATTAGAAAGTCGCTTCCTAGCAAAAGGTGGGCCCATCTATCCTTTCCCGCTTCTATTTGCCCACAATAATTTTCAAAGCTGACTTAAAGAAACAAGGACTAAGAAAAAAATACTTGCTTTATGAGGGGTGACACATGGCAAAGTCATAGAAGAGGAACGGAATGGATTCTTGATTGAGGTGTGTATTTGATTTCCCAAATGTGTCCCAGACCCTAGAGGTTTCCATGATATAATAATAATATGACAAATGGAAGAATATGGGTATGCACATCTTGTTAACTTACCACATTATTGAAGGTGGTGCTGTATGATGTCAAGGGATTTCAGCCAAGTAGTGTACATAACTTGTAACTAATTGACTGGATGTTTTGAATTCATTTGTGTAGGACCTGAGTTTTCTAACTATACTCTGGTGGTTTATTGGATTTTAATTCAATTCAATTCAAAGAAATAATGTAAGAAGAAGAGATCTCAGAATATTATTTTCTTTTTTTAGGGGCTGCGACCACTATTTGTGCTCCTATGACATCTTGTACTTACCTTTAACCAAAAATTTATCAATTTGTACTGAAATTGCTCATTTGTCTCTCTGTGTCTCCCCACCCCCCTCCCGCCATCCCCACAATTAGACTGGAAGCTGCTTGTATGTATTATTCAGAGCTTAGGATAGAACTTTAGGGCATCAGTTAATATTTGTTGGATGGATGGGGGGAAGAACACATGTTAGCTTATTTCCTTCATTCTATGTCTACTCTTTTATAGTTCTAAAATTATATTTAACTCAAAATAAACTTTTATTTTATTTATTTTTTTTTAGACAAATTTTTTTAAATTTTTTATTTATTTATTTGACAGAGAGAGAGATAGCGAGAGCAGGAACACAAGCAGGGGGAG